GTGGCTCAATCTTGACTCACAGCTAGCTCCATCTCCTGGGTTCAAGCGATTATCCCACTTCAGCCTCCCAAGTAGCTAGGATAACAGGCAACCACCATCATATATGGCTAACTTTTGTATTTTTGTAGAAATAAGGTTTCACCATATTGGCCAGGTTGGTCTCAAACTCCTGACCTCGGGTGATCCACCCTCCTCGGCCTCTCAAAATTCTGGGATTACAGGTGTGGGCCACCTCGAGCCTGGCCTTTCTCTCTGCCTTTCCGTTTTGAGCATGCATGTTCTCTCTCTCTTTTCTGAGCACGCATGTTCTCTCTCTTTACCTCTGTCTCTCTCTTGGTTCCCTCTCTCTATCTCTGTCTGTCTCTATCTCTATTTTGAGCACACATGTTCTTTCTCTTTACTTCTCTTTCTCTTCATACACATATACTTTTTGAGCACACATGTTCTCTTTCTCTCTCTCTCTGTCTCTATTTTGAGCATTCATATTCTCTCTAATTTGTTTTGTTTTTGAGATGGAATGTCACTCTGTTACCCAGGCTGGAGTGCAATGGCGCAATCTCAGCTCACTGCAACCTCCATCTCCCAGGTTCAGGTGATTCTCCTGCCTCAGCCCCTGCAGTAGCTGGAATTATAGGCACCCACCACCAAACCCAGCTAATTTTTTTGTATTTTTAGTAGAGATGGTGTTTCACCATGTTGGCCAGGCTGGTCTGGAACTCCTGACCTCACATGATCCACCTACCTCAGCCTCCCAAAGAGCTGGGATTACAGGTGTGTGCCACTCCACCCAGCCTCTATCTCTCTTTATCTCTATTTTGGGCACACATGTTCTCTCCATTTCTCTCTACATATGTATTTTTGGGCACACATGTCCTCGCTTTGTGTGTGTCTATTTTCAGCATGCGTGTTCTCGATCTCTATCTCCATCTCTATTTTGAGCAACACGTGTTCTCTCCCTCCCTCTCTCTCTGTTTTCAGTAGCATGTTCTGGATCTCTATGTGAGCACACATGTTCTCTCTCTCCCTCTCTCTGTTTTCAATAGCATGTTCTGGATCTCTACGTGAGCACACATGTTCTCTTTCTCCCTCTCTCTCTCTCTGTTTTCAATAGCATGTTCTCAATCTCTATGTGAGCATGCATGTTCTCTCTTTATCTCTACTTATCATCTCTCTCTCCCTCCCTCCTCCAAGCCACTCTCAGGCACTCAGGCATGTGGTAAACATCTGCCCACCTCCTTGTTACAGTGGACATTGGGGTCCCCTCTAAGGACCCCTCTGCCCCAACACAGAATGCAACTTCTCTTCTGGAGTCTTCCTGCTTTCCCAGGCTCTTCCCAGGAAGCAAAACGCAGATCTCCTCTGCCCTTGGATCCCACAAACCTACATGGGGTCCCGTCCTTGGGTGAGGGGCTGCAGGCCTGAGTCTCCCTTCCTTGGAGAACTGGAGCAGCTTCTCCCTGTTCCTCCTTATTCTCCCTCCTCTCAAAGTCTGGAAATTCTTTTCCAGTCTCATTTAGTGTCTCAAATCTTTTTTTTTTGGAGATGGAGTCTCACTCTGCTGCCCAGGCTGGAGTGCAATGGCACGATCTCGGCTCACTGCAACCTCCACCTCCCAGTTTCAAGTGATTCTCCTGCCTCAGTCTCCCATGTAGCTGGGATTACAGGCACGTGCTACCACACCCGGCTAATTTTTGTACTTTTAGCAGAGACTGGTTTCTCCATGTTGGCCAGGCTGGTTATTGTCTCAAATCTAGGATCCTAACTTGAGTTTTTGGAAAACTCAAAAGCTGGAAGAATTTTCATTTTCTCTTTCTGTTTTCTCATTCATTTGCTGAGGTAAGAAAATTTAGAGCAGACTTGCTTGAATGGGAGAAGGACTGTCAGGGAAAAGGAAGCTCTGGAGCAGAAAAAAGATATAAATATTTCAACATAGGATCCCATAATACATATAGGCAAAAGGAGAAGAAAGCATTGGCGGAACTGTGACATAATGTTAATGAAATGCTCTGTTTTCAGATGGTGAAACCATGAATGAACTTTTTAAAAAAATTCTTCTTTATAGTTACTAATTTTATTTTTTTAGATGCAGTGTTTTCCTATTGCTCAGGCTGGAGTGCCATGGCACAATCTTGGCTCACTGCAGCCTCTGCTTCCTGGGTTCGAGCAGTTCTCCTGCCTCAGCCTCCCCAGTAGCTGGGATTACAGGCATGTGCCACCATGCCTGGCTAATTTTTGTATTTTTAATAGAGATGGGGTTTCACCATGTTGGCCAGCCTGGTCTTGAACTCCTGACCTCAAGTGATCTGCCTGCCTCAGCCTCCCAAAGTGCTGAGGTTACAGGTGTGAGCCACTGCACCTGGCCGATTATTATTAATATTTTTGAAGTAGTGTCTCACTCTTTAGCCCAGCCTGGAATGCAGTGGTGCAGTCACAGCTCACTTACAACTCCTGGGCTCAAGTGATCCTCCCACCTCAGCCTCCCGAGTAGTTGGGACTACACATGTGAGCCACCACAGCTGTCCAAATATTTTCTTATTTAAATTTTTCTGAATTTTACAAAGTTTCTAGAATGTGTATTACTTTTATCATCACACACACACACACACACACACACACTAATTTATTTCAGTTCACTTGCAGTTTGTATTCTATGCAAGTAAAATTTTTTGCATGAGAAATGCCTGAATCCAAGCATAGTAAGTACAATGTACATTTCAAAACAATGCAGAGTATACAAAGCGTAGAGCAGAAAGGAGGGTTCATTCACACACTCAGTAGTTTGGGTTGGGTTCTATAGCGGCAAGCAATCACTTTTGTTATAAAGTTAGGGCTACTGGGCCAATTTAGGGGTACTGGAACAGCTAGGCATGAAAGAGCAAGCAAGTAAATCAAAGACTTCATGATGTACATATTTCTTTGTTTTTGTTTTGTTATTTATTTATTTTGAGATAGAGTCTCACTCTGTCGCTCAGGCTGAAGTGCAATGGCACAATCTTGGCTCACTGCAACCTCCACTTCCTGGGTTCAAGCAATTCTCCTGCCTAGCCTCTCGAGTAGCTGGGATAACAGGTGCGTGCCATCACGCCCAGCTAATTTTGGTATTTTTAGTAGATATGGGGTTTCGCCATGTTGGCCAGCTGGTCTCAAACTCCTGATCTCAGGTGATCCACCCACCTCGACCTCCCAAAGTGCTGGGATTACAGATGTGAGCTACTGCACCCAGCCTGCTTTGTTTTTTAGAGACAAGGTCTCACTCTCTTGCCCAGGGTGAACAGCAGTGGTGCTACCTATAGCCTGGAACTCCTGGGCTCAAGGGATCCTTCCACCTCAGCCTCTAAAGTAGCTGGGGCTACAGGCAGACACCAGCATGCCTGGTTTATTTTATTTTTTGTAGAGACCGAGGTCTTGCTGTGATGCCCAGGCTGGTCTTGAACTCCTGAACCTGACATGGCTTACTGTGAAATAACTTTCACGAAAATCCCAACTAAGTTTGGGAAACCCAGCCTACGACAGTGGTGTTGTAGTTCCTTCAGATGGTCAGCTGGGAGGTTCAAGCTGGATAAGAACAAGGAAGGGACTGCCTGAGTGGGAGAGACTGTGGCATGAAGGTACCATGTAAGTCAGGGGATAGGGAAAAGGAGAATGAAAGGGTGAAACCACTGCATAGAGAGGAGGCTGCAAGCAGAGAAAGGGGTGTTGGTTCTGAGTGTGACAAGGGCCCAGGGCATAACGTGCAGTGGTGGTGTGGGGGATAAGGTCTCCAACGAGGTATAGCTACTGAGAGGCAGCAGTTTGGTTAGGCTGTATCTGCAGACATTGAAGACACCAAAGAGTGTGGCAGGATTTGGGGTGGAGATGAAGGCTAGAGGCCAAGTCACCAAGTTTTCAGTAACTATAAGGGGACAACCAGGAGGGCCAAGGATGACAAAGAGGAGGGGGAGAAGGTGGCAGGGCCAGGCTACATGACCCTCAATCAGCAGGGATTTTTTTCTAAATGCAAGGACAAAGGAGACATGAATGAGTCAAAACTTGCAAACAGTGCACCCTGCCTTCAAGGACCCTGGCAGTCCCTCTCTGAACAAAACTGGAGATGTCTTCCAGGAGCAAGGGTGGTCACTGCCATTACAAGGTGCCCTTCCATGCCGTGTTGCCTTGCATCTAAGGCATAAGGATCTCTAAGCTCTATGAAGACAGGGAACTCATCACTCTTGTTCACCAGGGAGGCATGTAATCGCTCATAATAAATACATATTTATTGGCTGGACACAGTGGCTCATGCCTGTAATTCCAGCACTTTGGAAGCCCAAGGCGGCAGATCATCTGAGGTCGGGAGTTTGAGACCAGCCTGGCCAAAGTGGTGGAATCCCATCTCTACTAAAAATACAAAAAGTATCCGGGTGTAGTGGCCCACACTTTTAATCCCAGCTACTTGGGAGGCTGAGGCAGGAGAATTGCTTGGACCCAGGAGGCAGAGGTTGCAGTGAGCCGAGATCACGCCATTGCACTCCAGCCTGGGTGACGAGAGTGAAATTCTGTCTCAAAAAATACATATATACATATTTACTAGTTTATTTATTTTATTTTGGAGACTGGGTCTCTCTCTGTCACCCAGGCTGAAGTGCAATGGCACAGTTAGCGCTCACTGGAGCCTTGCCTTCATGCTCAAGCAATCCTCCCGCCTCAGCCTCCTAAGTAGCTGGAACTACAAGTGGACATCACCACACTTGGCCATTTTTTTTTTGTAGAGACAGGCTCTCACTATGTTGCTGGTCTCAAACTCCTGGCCTCAAGTGGTTCTCCCTCCTAGGCCTCCCAAAGTGTTGGGATTACAGAGGTGAGCCACCTGCCTGACCCATAATAAATATTTGTTGAACGAATGACTGAACCACCAATTATTTCTCTATTTCCTGGTAACTCACTGCTGTTGCAGTGATGAAGAGAGCGGGCTTTGAGGTCAGGTGGATCTGTGTTTGGACTGCGGACCCGAGCCTCCGTTTGTGCCTGGGGTGCGGTGAGGGCTCCAGCAGATGATGATGAACCCGCCCTCGGCACGTGGTAAGTTCTCCATAAGTGGGCTCAGTAAAATCTCTCTCCCGGGAAAACTCCCCACAGTGCGCGAGGATGAGGCTGGGAATGTGAAGAGAAGGGCGGGGACAGGCGAGGACTTCAGGCTAGGGTTGCAGGTCCAGCCAGGGGCGGAGTCTCCTCCGGGTCGGGTGGGGACCGTGCTCTCCCCTGGAGGCACGTAGGGACCTGGCCGGCCGTGCGGCTGCCCAGGCGCTATGGCGAGCGCGGTCGGGAGGTCGAGGTCGTGGCCCCGGCTGGGGCTCCTGCTCCAGTTCGCGGCGCTGCTCGGGACGCTGAATCCACAGGTGAGAGCTAGGGACCGACGCCGAGTCCCCACAGTCGGGTCGCGGGGCGGAGGGGGCGGGGTCGCGCTCGGAGCTAGGGCGCGGCTGGCCCACCGGGGCGCCTCTCCGTCTCTCAGGCTTGGGTCCCGACTGAGTGAAGCCTCCTGGGTTTGGAGAGTCGTCAGTTGCCCCCAGCAAATACCTAGCTGGAGACATCTGCCAGCGTGGAAAGGCGAGAGTAGACCGAGCACCCCGCCTCTTCTGCGGTAAGGGGTGCCGTCTGGCGGGGGGTGGGCACCTGGGCACGAAAGCCAGGCCTCTTAAAACTTCTGGGGATCCTGGCTTCCTTTGAAAACGTGATTAACTTCAGGGCCCTCTGCTAAGAAATGCACCTGCACGCCCAGTTTTGCAATTTCAGAGGTTTTAGAATGGGGTCCCTTTACCCATGGCTGCACCCCAGGTTCAGAACCTGTGAGATAAATGAGCTGGGGGTGTGGGTATCTGCTCCCATGGTACCAGGAGTAGAAGAGTTTACAGAAATGCAGCCAGAAGGCAAAAGTTGCCTGGCCTGAGAATCTAGTTGCCTGGCCTGGACCCCCCATGGGGTGAAAGCAATCAGGTTGAGTTAGGCACCCCATTCCCCCCTTCCACCTCATGGGTCCTCTCATGGCTGCCAGCTAAGAATGCAAGCCCAGAGTGGCCAGATCGGATGTCTCCAGAAAAATTAGAAATGAGAAAAATTAGAAATCTTGTTTATTTTTTATAAATCATCCCATTTTTTTAATTGGCAGCTAACTGAAAACAAATTTTTTTAGCACTAGATTGTCAAACAAAATTCATTTGTGGGCAACCAATCTGCAGCCTATTCTCCAGACCATTCTCCCTCCTGCTGTGCTGCAGATGACAAAATTGAGGCCCAGAAAGAAAGAGGGGCTAGCAGATAGTTTCCTGACGCTCCACTCAACACCAGTGGCTGGGCCCCAAACCTGAGGGTCCTGAAGCAGGATGTGGCCTTTGCAGGGGTGCGGCTGGGCCACCCGGATGTTAGGCCTCCTGCTGGGAGTTCAGCCTCACCCTGTTTGCTCAAGGAGGAGCTGGAGCGGGTGACTGAGCCCAGAAGCACCAGATATAAGTATGGGTGGTTCCAGTCCCCCTTTCACAGCCATCCCCAGCCTTGGGTCAGGGGACCCACTGGCGCCTGGCACCAAAACCAGCTGGGCTGGCTTGGGGAAGTGGAAAGGGGCATCCCCAAAGAGGCAGACATTGCAGCAGAGGAAAAAGAGGCCAGGCATAGGAATCAGAGATGGCAACTCAAGTCCAAAGTTTTGCCACTTATTATCTCTGTGGCTTTAAGCGAATGACCTAACTTTGCTGAGCTTCATTCTCCCTCCCCTGTAGAACGGGAAAACTAATAGTACCAGTCTTAGAATGGGTGCAGTGGCTCATGCTTGTAGTCCCAACACTTTGGAAGTCTGAGGCAGAAGGAACACTTGAGGCCAGGAGTTCCAGACCAGCCTGGACAACATGGCAAGACCCTGTCTCTACAAAAAATACCAAGATTAGCCAGGTGTGATGGCACACACCTGTAGTCCCAGCTCCCTGGAAGGCTGAGGTGTGAGGATCAGCTGAGCCAAGGGGTTTGAGGCTGCAGTGAGCTGTGATTGTGCCACTGCATTCCAGTTTGGGCAACAGAGCAAACCCTGTCTTATATTAAAACAAGAACAATAACAAAAAAGAAACAAAACAAACAATGAAGTCATTTTGTAAAGGCCTTTAGGCTTCTTTGGAAAACCAGAATGAATTGAGGGAAGTAAGGAATTGGGAATTTAGATACATGGGAGCCAAAACCTTCCCCAGGACCCCCCAGCTCCCACTGTAACCCCTCTCTAGGGTCAAAGAGATGATGGGTGACACCAGCATTTTCCCCAATCACCCTTCCTCCCCTGCTCTGTTCCCACCTGGGGGGAAGGGAAGTCATGGCCAGCCCTGCCTGGGACAGGAGCAAAGGGTGGTCCCAGATCCCTGAGAGAGCTGACTTTGTCCCTACTCCTCGCAGGTTCATACTCTCAGGCCAGAGAGCCTCCTGCTGGTGTCCACCTTGGATGGAAGTCTCCATGCACTGAGCAAACAGACAGGGGACCTGAAGTGGACTCTGAGGGATGGTGAGTAAGAGGTGGTCCGTCCTCCCTTCTTGGGCCAATAAATCGGTGGAGGGGGAGTCACTGTAGCATAGAGAATAAGAACATGCGGGAACAGTGGCTCATGCCTGTAATCCCAGCACTTGGGGAGGCTGAGGCGGGTGGATCACCTGAGGTCAGGAGTTCAAGACCAGCCTGGCCAACATAGTGAAACCCTGTCTCTACTAAAAATACAAAAATTATCTGGGCGTGATGGGGGTGCCTGTAATTCCAGCTACTCAAGAGGCTGAGGCAGGAGAATTGCTTGAACCCAGGAGGTGGAGGTCGCATTGAGCCGAGATCGTGCCATTGCACTCCAGCCTGGGTGACAAGAGTGAAACTGTCTCAAAAAAAAGAGAGAGAGAGAGAATAAGAACATGGGCTCTAGAATCCAATGGTATCTACAGGCAGCTTCACTGCTTACCAGCTGTGCGGCCTTGAGAAACTCACTTTTCCTCTCTGATCTTCAATGTTCTCATCTGTAAAATGGGCTAAAAGATATGACCCTATCTGACAGAGTTCTTGGGAAGATGGCATTACATTCATGTCATAGCTCAGTGAATATGAGCTGTGCTTTTTAGTGGAGTCTGGAGGGAGCTGCTCACGCTCTGTGTCCCTGTCCCTGCAGATCCTGTCATCCAAGGACCAATGTATGTCACAGAGTAAGTAAACCTGGGGTCTTTTAAGGAGGAGGCAGCTGGGAGATGGGGGACCCATAGTTGTCTGGAGAGAGTATGTGTGTAGGACGGGGACATACTGGAAGTAAGGGAAGAGAATTGGCTCCAGAAGTGATATGAGAGAGGGTCTTGGAGACCCAAGGAGTCTCCTACGAGAACAGGCTTCTACTAGCTGAGAAGTTGGAGGGAATTTGGGGCCTTCATGAAACCAGGGGGCAGGCACCCATTCATCTCCTTCTTCCTCTTTACTCCACAGAATGGCCTTTCTGTCTGACCCAGCTGATGGCAGCCTGTACATCTTGGGGACCCAAAAACAACAGGGATTAATGGTGTGTTTCCCATGGTGTTTGGGAAGGGCTGAGGGCCAGGGGTTTTGTCAGCTGGAGCACTGAGAGGTGCAGAGGGAGTATGGTCAGTATCTCCCGTCCTGCAGAGGATGTAAGTCAGGACTCTGAGCACATTGTGGGAAGGCTGTCTGAGGGACCTGTTGCAAGGGGGTGGTAAGGAGAAGTCTGGCTGTGTCTGCAGGGCAATCTGACTTTCAAGCTGGGGTTATCCCGGGGGCTTCTCCAGGACTCTGAGGGCTTTAAGGAGAAATGTATATATCAGTTAGCTTTTGCTAAATACAAATCAACCCAAAACTCAAGAGCTTAAAACCCAAACATCACCTAAATTTATTCAACTCAGAATTTGGTGGGATGACCATTTAAGCTGGACTTAGCACAGTGGTTCTTCTGATGGTCTAGATTGGACTTGTTCCTGCATGTGTGGTCAGCCGCTGGTCAGTTGGATGGCTCTGTTTCTAAAAGTTGGTTGGTAGTTGACTGATTTTTGGCAGGGGTGGCTGGGCCATGTGTCTCTTATCCCTAGCAGGGAATCCTAAACTTGTTTACATGGTGTCAACAAGGGACCCCAAAGCGGCAATACATAAGCACTTTTCAAACTTCTGTTCACATCACATTTGCTAATAGTTCATCAGCCAAAGCAGGTCACATGGCCAAGCTGAGAGTCCAATGGTGAAAAAACAGACTCCATCTCTATATGGAAGGAGCTGAGAAGTCATCATGTGAAGGGACATGCATATAAGATGAAGAGGAATCTGTGGCCATTTTTTGCAATATTCCACATCAGGACTCTGAATGGGGTGGAATGTGTTTTGTCAGATATTTTTTTTAATTTTTAAAACTTTTTAAAAGACAGGACCTCATTCTGTGTCCAGGCTGGAGTACAGTGATATGATCATAGCTCACTGCAGCCTCGAACTCGTGGCCTCAGTTGATCCTCGTGCCTCAGTATCCTGAGTAGCTGAGACTACAGGTGCATACCACCACACCCAGTTCTTTGTCAGAATTCTGACCTTGCCAGGGTTAGCCTGCCAGAAAAGTGTTGTATGTGATTTAGGAAGTAATAAGAAATTTTAGTGTGTGAATCAGGCAGGTTCTCAACTTGGCATACTCACATGGCATACTCAGATAGAATAGTCGGAGGACATTCTGTTAAAGGTGTGAGCAGAGTCTAGGAAACCACAAGGGATAGTGCAGTATATTAGTTCATTCCTACATTGCTATAAAAAAAATACCTGAAACTGGGTAATTTGTAACAAAAGAGGTTTAATTGACATGGTTCTCTGGCTGTGCAGGAAACAATAGTAACTTCTGCTTCTGGAGACACCTCAGGAAACTTACAATCATGGCAGAAAGCAGGAAGTGGAAGCAGGCATGTCTTACACGCCCAGAGCAGGAGCAAGAGAGAAAGAGAGGAGGTGCCATCTACTTTTAAACAACCAGATGTCGTGAGAACTCTATTACAAGAATAGCACCGGCTGGGCACAGTGGCTCATGCCTGTAATCCCAGCACTTCAAGAGGCCAAGGCAGGCAGAACACCTGAGGTCAGGAGTTCAAGACCAGCCTGGCCAACATGGTGAAACCCCATCTCTACCAAAAAATACAAAAATTAGCCAGGTGTGGTAGCACATGTCTGCAGTCCCAGCTGCTTGGGAGACTGAGGCAGAAGAATCGCTTGAACCCGGGAAGCAGAGGTTGCAGTGAGCCGAGATGGCACCACTGCACTCTAGCCTGGGTGACAGAGCAAGACCCTGTCTAAAAAAAAGGAAAAAGAATAGCACCAAATGGAGAAATTTGTCCCCATGATCCAATCACTTCCCACCAGGCCCCACCTCTAACATTGGGGATTGCAATTCAACAGGTGGTTTATATGGGGACACAAATCCCGATCATATTATGTGGTATCCTTTGGTTCATGACAGTGGGGTGCCATTATCAGCCCTAATTCTGGAGGCTGTGGAGGGAGCAGCTACCACAGCCTGGAGCTAGAGAGAGATATCCTGAGAGCACCACCCAGTGGGACCTCAGCACTTCGGTGGAGAGATACAGCCAGCCCATGAGGACTCTGTGGCGAGGAAACCAGGGCATACTCTGATCTCACCCTATCCCCATTATTCAAACTCAATAGGAAGCCAGAGCACAGGGTGCCCACAGACATAACCCAGACAAGTCCAGCTCTTGGGAGAAGGTGGAGGGTGGATCTGATCTCCACTCCTAGCCAGCATCAGGCCATGTTCTCCTTTATTCTGGAACAACTCCTTCACTTCTCTGAGTCTCTCATGGCTGTTGACAGTTTTTAAGTACCCGTGTGAGTTAGTTTTTTTCTTTTTGGAATTAAACTCCCCACTTGTGTATGAGGTTTTTTTGTTTTTGTTTTTGTTTTTGTCTGTTTTGTTTTATTTTGTTTAGAGACAGAGTCTTACTCTATCACCTAGGCTGGAATGCAGTGGCACAATCAGAGCTCACTGAAGCCTTGAACTCCTGGGCTCAAGCTATCCTCCTGCCTCAGCCTCACTAGTAGCTGGGACTACAGGCATGCACCACCATGCTCTGCTAATTTTTTTTTTTTTAATTTCCATAGAGACAAGGTCTCTCCATGTTGCCCATGCTGGTCTTGAATTCCTGGGCTCAAGCAATACTCCTTCCTCGGCCTCCCAGTGTGCTGGGATTACAGGCATGAGCCACCATGCCCACCCCAGTGCAAGTTTTTGAGGAGGAGGTCAGGTCAGTCCAGGAGCAAGTGGCTCATGTGGTACCTTGACACTGGGTGTGGGAATTTCTGCATTTCCTCAAGAGGCTGTGTAGCAAAATGATTCAGTGTGCTGGCTCTGGAGGCTGGCTGCCTGGGGTCAAGGCCACTTAGTAGCTGTGTGATGTTAACCAAGTTACATGGCCTCTCCAAGCCAGTTTCCTTACCTAAAAAGTGGAAATGATAGTAGTACCTGTTACTCGGTTGCTATGGAAATGGGCTCACCTGGCACAGTGAGCATTGTGTGTTTCTGCTCTTACTGCTTCCTGGAAATTTTCCCTTTCCCAGAAACTGCCATTCACCATCCCTGAGCTGGTTCATGCCTCTCCCTGTCGAAGCTCTGATGGGGTCTTCTACACAGGTGAGCATCTCTCTAGCCTGTGGGGGTCCAGGTTCAGCCACCAGAGTCTGGGATCTAGGTCATGACGGGCTAATTAGGCACAAGAGGGATGAGACCATACCCCTTCCCATGCCAACTTGGGAGCTAATTCGCTTTCCACCTCCACAGGCCGGAAGCAGGATGCCTGGTTTGTGGTGGACCCTGAGTCAGGGGAGACCCAAATGACATTGACCACAGAGGGTCCCCCCACCCCTCGTCTCTACATCGGCCGAACACGTGAGTTGGGCCCCAGCTGTTCATTCAAGCTCTAGGCAGACTTCCCTTTTGCTCTGCTGAGATCTGGCTGTTGCTAACCAAGTTGAATTCAGGCCAATCAGTCTGTTAGTCATCAAGAAACATTCTACAGAGCACTGAACTAGGAGCTGGGGATAGAGCTGTAAACAAGACAGTTCCCATCTCTGCCACTGTTAAGCTCACAGTCTTCCAGGCCTCCAGGCTGTGTGCTCAGGAAACCCCCACTCCTACAAGATAAATGGCCCCTGGGGTTGGAGGGAGCATCACATGGGCATTCCTGGTAATCTTGCTTCTGGGATCCCCAGAGTATACGGTCACTATGCATGACCCAAGGGCCCCGGCCCTGCGCTGGAACACCACCTACCGCCGCTACTCAGCACCCCCCATGGATGGCTCACCTGGGAAATGTGAGTTCACCTTTCTCTGGTCCCATCATGGAGCAAGGTCCCCAACCAGGGAACCCATGAACAGCATCCATGACCAGTTCCCAGACACATTTTGACCCACTGGACCTCCCAAGGAACCCCATGTACTGAATGGCACACCCCTGAAGGCTGACCCCAAATGACTCCCTCAACACCCAGACTGACCCTCCTGAACCCTGGCCAATCCCTCAACCTCCTAACTCTTCTATACTCTAAGTGACCCCAACCAGGTAACCCTGGATGACCTCCCATATTCAGAGTGACCCCAAACAGCTCCTGAGCAATCTCTGCACATCCTGACCCCTACATATAACCCCTGAAAGCTGATCCTAAGTAGCCTCTTCCATAGACTGATGCCCCAGGTGACCCTGACCACTCTCCTGCGTTTTTTGTGAGATAGGGCCTCACTCTGTCACCCAAGCTGGGGTGCAGTAGTGCAACCATAGCTTACCACAACCTCCAACTCCTGAGCTCAAGCGATCCTCTATCCTCAGCCTCCTTAATAGCTGGGACTGCAGGTGTGCACCACCAAGCCTGGCTCGTTTTTCAATTTTTTGTAGAGACGGGGTCTTGCTATGTTGCCCAGGCTGGTCTCAAACTCCTGGGCTTAAGTGATCCTCCTGCCTCGGCTTCCCAAAGTGCTGGGATTACAAGCATAAGCCACTGCACCTGACCCACACCCTTGATATTATGACTGATACCCAACTGCCAGAGTGACCTTGCAGGTGCCCCTAAGGCCCCCCAATCCTTTATTTCATCATTCTGCATGAGACTCTACACAGATCACCTTTTCAGAGGTGAAGTCACCTATGCACCGCAGCTGACCCTTCTCACACTCTAATTGACTCTTGAGTGACCCACATGCCTCCAGGCCACCCTGATTGATCCATCCTAGGTGACCATCTGTTGACCATGAGCAATACCCCACATCCTAAGTGACCCAAGCGGACTCCCACACACCTGAGTCACCTTTGAATGACCCTGATTGATCGCCTTATTTTCAAAGTGACCCCACGAACTCCAACAAAACTTCTGACATCCTGATAACCCTCTATGTGATCTCACTTGACCTCCACACACCTGAGTGACCCCCTCACCCGAGTGCCCACCACCCTTGGACTCTCTTAGGAGAGCCTCCAACCACCTCTCCCCAGCCACCTTTCTCAGCAGACATGAGCCACCTGGCATCCTGTGAGATGGGCCTGCTGCTCACTGTGGACCCAGGAAGCGGGACAGTGCTGTGGACACAGGATTTGGGTGTGCCTGTGATGGGCATCTACACCTGGTACCAGGATGGCCTGCGCCAGCTGCCGCATCTCACACTGGCTCGAGACACCCTGCATTTCCTCGCCCTCCGCTGGGGCCACATCCGACTACCTGCCTCAGGCCCCCAGGATACGGCCACCCTCTTCTCTGCCTTGGACACCCAGCTGCTGTAGGTGTTGGTATCTGGGGTCTTGGGAAGGAGCTGTCTGGGAGTGTTGCAGCCTGGGTCTGATGGTCAGGCGAGATGTTCAGCTGTGACACACCAGTACAGCTGAAGCCGGGGTCAAAACATCTCAAATTGGTTACTTACCCAACTGGTTGGTAAATAACCAGTGTCCTGTGCTGCCCTCCAAGTGTTCCCAGGACCCCCTAGGTAACCCACTGTTCAGCAACTCATAGGGTAAGATCTGGCCTAGGAGGATGTATTAGTCTGTTTTCATGCTGCTGATAAAGATACCCAGGCTGGGCATGGTGGCTCACACCTGTAATCCCAGCACTTTGGGAAGCCAAGGCAGGCAGATCACCTGAGGTCGGGAGTTCAAGTCCAGCCTGGCCAACAAGGAGAAACCCCATCTTTACTAAATGTATAAAAATTAGCTGGGTGTAGTGACGCATGCCTGTAATCCCAACTTCTTGGGAGGCTGAGGCAGGAGAATCACTTGAACCTGGGAGGTGGAGGTTGCAGTGAGCTGAGATCGTGCCATTGTACTCCATCCTGGGCAACAAGAGCAAAACTCCGTCTCAAAAAAAAAAAAAAAGAAGACATACCCAAGACTTGGCAATTTGCAAAAGAAAGAGGTTTAATGGACTTACAGTTCCATGTGGCTTGGTAGCCTCACCATCATGGTGGAAAGCAAGGAGGAGCAAGTCACATCTTACATGGAAGGCAGCAGGCAAAGAGAGGAGCTGGTGCGAGAAAATCCCCCTTATAAAACCATCAGATCTTGTGAGACTTATTCGCTATCATGAGAACAGCATAGGAAAGACCCACCCTCATGATTCAATTACCTCCCACTGGGTCCCTCCCACAACACATGGGAATTCAAGATGAGATGTGGGTGGGGACACAGCCAAACCATATCAGAGGTGGACTTCAGCTCTTAGTCTGTTCTGATTGGTAGGTGCCATGCCTTATGGATTTTTAAATACTTTAAATAACACCCTTATTGCATCTAACACCTTAGTGTCCCCATCTTGAGAAACAAGTAGACAGCTTGGGAAGATCAGGGATCATCTATCTCTTCATTTCAATTCATTTTGCAAATATTAACTGAGCACTTAATGTGTGCCAGTCTCACTAGAGTCTGGGAGTGCAATAGTAAATAACCCAGCCATTGTTCCTGCCTACAGGAACCTGAGTCTAGTGGGAGAGACAGACATGTAAAGAGACAATTGCAACGTGACATGACAAAGGATGAGAAGAAAGTAGTATAAGATGCCATGGCAATGTATAGGAAGAGTATCTACATCGAGACTAGGGACAGGAGGCAGTCATAGAAAGCTTCCCAGAGGAAGGGACATCTAAATTAAAACCTAAAAAAAGAATAGGAGATGAGAGAGCATGGAATTCAGGGAACAGGAAAAATTAAATAAGACTGGAATACAGACCTGAGCAAGGCGTAGGGTCTGAGGTTATAAGCTAAGCAGGGAACTTGTAGGATTATTTAAAAGGCTTGGACATTTTCTCCTAAAGCCAGAGAGAAGTCACTGGAGAGTTTTAAGGAAGGAGGTGACTCAATCATATTTTCATTTTAAAAAGAATATCTTAGAGTGGTATACGAAAAGAAATGGACCATTCATGGAATATTGATTTGTTCAGGCAAGAAATGAAGACAGGTTATACTAGAGCAGAAACTCTATAGAGGGAAATAGCCTCTAGTTATGTAAGATATATTAGAAGGAAAAACCAGTAAAAATTTGGCAATTAGGGAATTTGGTGATTGCGAGCAAGGAATCAAAGATCATGCTCAGGTTTCTAGAAGCACGTGGGTGCTATCATTTTCAGAGGCAGGGAACACTACAGGAGGTGGGGGAAGAAGGAGAAAAAAGTAAAGAATGATGTAATGAGTTTATATGTAGAAAATTAAGCTCCTGAAAGAGGTCTGGGTTAGACATAGATTTGAAATTGTGACTATAGAGCATGTATCAGGTAGCTTTAGCTACGTAACAAATCACCCCAAAACAGAGAGCTTAAAAAACAACAATTTATTATTCCTCAAGATTCTGTGGGTCAGCTGGGTAGGTGGTTTTTCTGCAGTCTGCTTGTGGCTTGGTTGAGTCTGGAGAATCTAGGATGGCCTCACTCACCTATCTCATAATTGATGGACTGTTTGGCCTATGGAGGATTAAAGAGGTCTCTCACACCTCAGCAGGCTAGCCTGCGTTTTCTCCCATGATGGTCTCAGGGCTCCAAAGAACAATGCAGAAGGAAGCCTCAAGCCACAAGTACTTTTCAAGCTTCTACTTATGTCACATGTGCTGTTCTCTGATTAAAGCAAGTCTCATGGCTAAGCCAAGAGTCAATGTGAGATGGAAATATACAAGTGCGTGAATACCCTGATAACTGAAACTACTCACCACCAGCATTCATTCTTCTCTTCTTTTTCTTACCTCCTGCTAGGATGACGCTGTATGTGGGGAAGGATGAAGCTGGCTTCTATGTCTCTAAAGCACTGGTCCACACAGGAGTGGCCCTGGTGGTGAGAAGTGGTCTCTGAGTGGGCTGAAAGAGGTTGAACAGAAGAACCTCCCTCACTCATGGCTCTCCATCTTCTGCTGTAGCCTCGTGGACTGACCCTGGCCCCCACAGATGGCCCTACCACAGATGAGGTGACACTCCAAGTCTCAGGAGAGCGAGAGGGCTCACCCAGCACTGATGTCAGATACCCCTCAGGCAGCGTGGCCCTCCCAAGCCAGTGGCTGCTCATTGGTGAGATCTTCTGGCTCAAATTGGGAGTAGATGAAGATACAGAACCTGTGAGCCCAGCTTCTGAGCTGGAAGGCTGAGGTTCCCTTCAGCCTGATGACTTTTGCCCCCCCACTTTAGGACATCATGAGCTACCCCCAGTCCTGCACACCACCATGCTGAGGGTCCATCCCACCCCAGGGAGTGGGACTACAGAGACAAGACCCCCAGAGAACACCCAAGCCCCAGCCTTCTTGGAGGTCAGTGCTGGAAGGGCAGAGAGCGGGGGGTAGGGAGGCCCCAGCAGATAGGGGAGCAGCCCTTGGACCTTTTCCTCAGGCTTCTAAGAATAACAATTGGGGTTGGATCAATTGACCTCACACAATTTCCCAAAAGATAAACATTTTGTTGTTGTTGTTGTTGTTGTTGTTGTTGTTACTGGCAGAAACATGTTAGAAGTGTCAAAATGTGGCTGGGCATGGTGGCTCATGCTTATAATCTCAACACTTGGGGAGGTTGATGTAGAAGGATGGCTTGAGATCAGGAGTTTGAGACTAGCCTAGGTAACATAGCAAGACCCCATTTCTATAAAAAAAAAATTAAAAAATTAGTGGGACATGGTGGTGTGCACCTGTAGTCCCAGCTACTCAGGAGGCTGAGGTGGGAGGATTGCTTGAGCCCAAGAACTTGAGGCTGCAGTGAGCTATGGTCACACCACTACACTGGATAACACAGTGAGACCCTGTCTCTTAAAAAAAAAAAAAAAAAGGGGCCAGGCACAGTGGCTCACACCTGTAATCCCAGCACTTTGGGAGGCCGAGGCAGGCAGATCACCTGAGGTCTGGAGTTCAAGACCAGCCTGACCAACATGGAGAAAACCCGTCTCTACTAAAACTACAAAAAATTAGGCAGGCATGGTGCTGCATACTTGTAATCCCAGCTATTCAGTAGGCTGAGGCAGGAGAATCGCTTGAACCTGGGAGGCGGAGGTTGCAGTGAGCCAAGATCGCACCATTGCACTCTAGCCTGGGCAAAAAGAGCGAGACTCTGTCTCAAAACAAAAAAAAAAAAGATATTGACTACCTAAATCATGAAACATGGGTCACATTTTCTTTATTCTTCTTCAGTGTAAAAACTGTAAAGCATTCATTAAGTGAGAAATTGAAAACAAAAGCTATAAAAGCATGTGCTCCTGGGAGAGGGAGGAACCAAAATCACTAGTAAGTAGCTCAAAGTTAGAAGGAACAGCCATGGCCTAGAGCAAATCTGGTGGCTCATCAGAATCACCTGGAAGCTTATTCCAGAGCCAACACATTTAGAATCTCTAGAGGTGGATATCTATATTTTTAGTGACATTCCAAGGGTACCTGTATTTTTTAGTGACATCCCATGAAATGCTGGTCATCGGGTAGGTTTAGAAAACCACTCTTTTGGGCACCATGATGTTTCAGCACCATGGAGAGTGCCACATTTCCCACCATATGCAGACCACTCACTGCCCCTTCAGTTAAACCCAGTCCTATGCTGGTGATGAAGAAAGGTTAGGGGTTCCCCGATGGAAGGAGGTGCTAAAAGTGAATGGCCGTTTATCCCCAGCTATTGAGCCTGAGCCGAGAGAAACTCTGGGACTCCAACCTGCATCCAGAAGAGAAAACTCCAGACTCTTACATGGGACTGGGCCCACAAGACCTGCTGGCAGCTAGCCTCACTGCTGTCCTCCTGGGAGGATGGATTCTCTTTGTGATGAGGCAGGTAGGCCCATTGCCCTGATCTCAGGTCCATCTGGGGGTAACACTGCTCCTCCTCTCTGAGACCACTCAGCAACTCTCTCCCTCTACCCAGCTCTGACTTTGCCCCCTGCCTCCCTCCCAGCAGCTCCCCAGGCTCCTGTGATCTTGCTCTGTAAGTTTATGCTGCCTGGTGAGGCCATCTCAGTCACAGATACTGGGCTCATCACGGGGCAGGGCATGGCAAGGATAGAGCTCTCTTAGGCTCTTGTGTTATAGCAGCAGCCACAGGTGGTGGAGAAGCAGCAAGAGACTCGCCTGACACCTGCAGACTCTGCTCACATCTCCCAGGATGCCCAGTCCCTGCACTCAGGGGCCACCCCAAAGAGCCAGAAGAGGCTCCGAAGTCCCTTAAAGCAAGCCCAGCCACTTGACAACCCTGAAGGTGAGCTTGAGTGAACAAGACAGGGCAGTCAGGAGCAGAGAAAATCAAGGGGCAGATTTAACTGCAAAGCTGGTTTATTAAAAGCCACTATAATGGGGTGGTTAGGTCTAAATGAATTAATAAGAGTGTTTGGAGTAGAGCCTGCTATGTAATTGAGCACTCCAGAAGTGTCTGCTATCATTTTCTTTAATCCTTTTTTTTTTTTTTTTTTTTTTGAGACAGGGTCTCACTCTGTCACCCAGGCTGAGTGCAGTGGCACCATCATAGCCTACTGCAGCCTCAAGCTCTTGGGATCATGAAATCCTCCCTCCTCAGCCTCCCAAATAGGTGTGACTACAGACATGCACCACCACGCCCTGCTAATTTTAAAATTGTTTTTGCAGAGATTGGGTCTCACTATGTTTCCCAGGCTGGTCTTGAACTGATAGCCTCTAGCAATCTGTCCACCTCAGCCTTCCAAACTGCTGGGATTACAGGCATGAATCACCATGCCCAGCTCATTATTGTATTATTATTATTAAGGAATCTGGATGTAGATAGAGCAGGATATAGATCTAAGGCTGCTCTCTGCTTACCTCCTTTGAGCTCAGTTTTTTCATTTATCAAACGGGAATAATAACATCCAGCTCATTACATCATCTCATCATTAGAAGTTACAATCATTATTATTAAGTAATACTTAGGTAATATTATTAATATTCATATTAAAATGGTATTATATTTGGTAACAATAATAGTAAATGGCCTTCATACAATTTAGTGTCTTTTATTTTTTAAACTCTTATCTTTTATCAATTTAGTCCTATAAACAAGCCCTTTTAGGTTGGGCGTGGTGGCTCACACCTGTAATCCCAGAACTTTCAGAGGCCAAGGTGGGGATTGCTTAAGGCCAAGAGTTCAAGACCAACCTGGGCAACATAGGGAGACCCCATCTCTACAAATAATACAATTAGCCAGGTGTGGTGGTGTGCACTGTGGTCCCAGCTACTCAGGAGGCTAAGGCAGGAGGATTGTTTGAGTCCAGAAGGTTGCGGCTGCAATGAGCTGTGAACCTTTCAAGGTTTCTCTGGCATCTGGCATGCCCCAGGTCCTTCTTGCATGCATTTACCAATTAGCCCAGGCTACTTCTTTTTTTTGTTTTTTTTGGCTACTTCTGCTTGATTGTTTCTGGGCTGGGTTCGAGTTTTTGGTTGTCTTTGTAAACTTGTGCTGGGGCCTCCTGGTCACTGCTCAAGCAACTTCCTCATACCTTGGCCCCACTCTGCCATCCCCCTCTCAGGTTTCTCTGTGGCACACATGGCTTGATGCTCCAGTGCTGTTCACAAGGGCCCCCTCTGTGGTCACTGTGCCTTAGCCCAGAGGAAAACAGCTCCCCTTCCTTGGGGGGGGGTCAGCTCTTTTAGAGGGCCCCACAGCAGGATTTCCTGAGCCCTGAGCTGCTGTAGTTTTTGTCATTTTACTTGGGTGGGTCCAAGTAATATTCATTTTACCCTGGGTGGGTCCAAGTAATATTCACCTCACTGTACCCCAAAATATCCATCTCCATGGACTTTCTGACTCGAGTTGAGTCTGGCTCATCTTTACCTAGACAAATGGGACTCCATCTTTGGGTAACCCCAGAGTTATTCTCGTCAAAGTCCTCATGGACTGTTTTATATGATTCATAAAACTTACACTGGAGTCACACCCAGTTTTCATTTAACTTGCACAAATATGGCCTGGCGTGGTGGCTCATGACTGTAATCCCAGCACTTTGAGAAGCTGAGGCAGGCAGATCACTTGAGGTCAGGAGTACAAGACCTGCCTGGCCAACATGGTGAAACTATATCTCTACTAAAAATATAAAAATTAGCCTGGCGTAGTGGTGGGTGCCTGTAGTCTCAGCTACTGGGGAGGCTGAGGTACAAGAATTGCTTGAACCCAAGAGACAGAGGTTTCAGTGAGCCAAGATTGTGCCACTGCACTCCAGTCTGGGCAACAGAGCAAGACTCCATCTCAAAAAAAGAAAACTTACACAAATTAATCTACATGTGCTTGGACGGGCATTTCTCAGCACCTCTGGCTGCATCGTGTATTCAATGACAAGTGGATGCAATCCAGCCTGAACCAGAATTAACATTTATATAGTGTTTACTGTATGCCAGGCACTGTTCTGAATGCTTTGAATGCATTAACTCATGAGATAACATTCCTGTGAGGCGAATGTTATTATAGAATGCCCTTTTTAAGGAAGCAGAAACTAAGGCAGAAAGGTCTAGTGACAACTCCCACCCCTATCCCCGGCTCACAAAGCTAGTTAAGTCCCAGCTCAGGGGTCCAGATGCATGTAGCTGGCTCCAGCATGTGCCCTAATCTCTGTGGGATGGTTTGAACAATATCTGGCAAATACCTGTGAAAAAATGTGACTGACTGTTAGTGCTCCCCAACCTGTGCAGAAGCAGCAGCAAAGTACATCATGTGTATTCAGGATTTCCAGAGGTAATTCTGACTATATGTCCTTTCTCCCTGATATAACAACTTTTGATTACTTTAGAATTGAACTTGGGAGGCCGAGGTGGAAGGATTGCTTGAGCCCAGCCTGGGCAACATAATGAAGCCCCATCTTTACAAAAATTAAAGATACAAAAAGATCAGCCAGGCATGGTGGCACATGCCTGTAATCCAGATGTTTGGGAGACTGAGGCAGGAGGATTGCTAGATCCCAGGAGTTCGAGGTTACAGTGAGCTATAATCACGCCAGTGCACTCCAGCCTGGGTGACAGTGAGCCCCTGTTTCTAAAACAACAACGACAACCAAAACTCCCACATTTGCTGCCTCTCCATTATAATTATGCAAAAGCCTGAGCGAAGTGATGGCAAATATCTGTGTGTGCAGACTGAGCCTCTCTAGCTCATTATATCTGCATTCAAGGCCCTTGTGGCCATAAGTCTGGCCTCTCTCTTTGAGGGTGCTTCTGAACATCTAACCCAGGAAACTTGAAGGAAGTGTTTACTCCATGCTGAGAGCACTGAGAGCAGATACACAACAGCCTGTGAGTCCAGCAGAACCAGTGACACAAAAAGGGAGGAGAGGAGAGGAAAGGAAAGGAGAGGGGAGGGGAGGGGAGGGGGAGGGTCAGATGAGCAGGGTTTGTTCAAGCAGCTCTGTCCCTGCTCTCTGATCTGCCTGTTTTTTCCTACGTGTGGGTGATATGCTTCCAGCAGGGTCCTGCCTGAGCCCGTCCATTCCAGAAAGACCAGTGTTTACCAATGAAGGTACTGCCTGCATCTTGCTGACAGATGAGTGTGAATTCTAAGCAAATAATCAAGTGGAACATTAAGGTGCAGCTTGGAGTTTTTCTCATGGATCCCTAATGCTGATTTTCTTTTTCTCAATTTTTTTTTTTTTTGAGATAGGGTCTTGCTCTGTCACTCAGGCTGAAATGTAGTGGCGTGATCTCAGCTCACTGCAACCTCTGCCTCCCAGGCTCAAGCCAATCCTCCCACCTCAGCCTCCTGAGTAGCTGGACTACAGGCACATACCACCACACCTGGCTAACATATATATATATAGTAAAGATGGGGTTTCATCATGTTGCCTAGGCTAGTCTTGAAGTCAAGTGATCCACCACCCTGGCCTCCCAAAGTGCTGAGATTTCAGGTGTGAGCCGCAGTGCCCAGCCCTAATGCTGATTTTCATTTACTTTTCCTAGAGCTGATTATAAAAACTGAAGCTAGAAACTCTTCCAAAGTAGAATGCTGTCAGGACCACTGCACTGCACAACTCTAGGGGTGCCATGTACATTTTGCTATACGAATAGTACCCATTGGAGCTGAGCAGGACTCAGCCTGCCCCAATTTGCCAGGGTCAGAGTGAGACATTTCTCACATGCTGCCCAAAGGGAAGGTCAGTAACTGTCCCAACATACAGATCTTTGCCCACCTGAGCCAACTCCATCCATCCTAATGGGAAACCAAGGCCTCTGGGGCTCCCTGCTGCCCTGGAACTAACTCTAGGCAGGTTAGCATCCAATGCCTGCTGCTTCTGTCTGGTCCTTTTTTCTGTGGTTATACTCACTTTCATCATGCTTCCAACTGCCAAAACTCACCTGCCCTTGAAATTGAAGCTGATTCAGTGTCAATTAAAAGAATGCAGTTACAAGATGGCTCATGCTTGTGATCCCAGAACTTTGGGAGGCCAAGGCAGGTGGACCACGAGGTCAGGAGTTCGTGACCAGCGTGACCAACATGATGAAACCCCATCTCTACTAAAAAGGCAAAAAATTAGCCAGGCATGATGGGGTACACTTGTAATCCCAGCTACCCGGGAGGCTGAGGCAGGGGAATTGCTTGAACCAGGGAGGTGGAGGTTGCAGTGAGCCGAGATCACGCCATTGCACTCCACCTTGAGTGACAGAGCGAGACTCCATCTCAAAAAAAAAAAAATCCGTTACAACTGGTGGAGGTGGGCAGAATGACAGAAGATGTAAAGAAAAAAAAACCCTTGGCAGAAGATGCCGAAAGAGGGAGAGAGAGAAAACAGGATAAAATAGCAAACATCGCTTCTACCCATTCTTTCCATATATCCATTTAATCCTCACAATACTGTTGTGTGGGCTCTTTAACCTTAGCCCCCCTGCTTTACTGATGAGAATACTGAGGGCACAAAAGTGAGGAATTTGCCTAAGTATGCCAAGAGTCAGTGGCAGCACCAGGCATTGGACCCAGACAGTCTGGCTCCTGGGCCCTTGCTCACCCATTGCACCAGGCTGAGCATGGGCAGTGGAGGCCCAGAAAAGGTCAAGGCAGGTCTGGAGTGGGCCAGTGGCCTGCAAAGGTGAGCAGAGGCTCCCTGAGTCCCCACCCTCCTTTTCCCCAGCTGAGCAACTCACCGTAGTGGGGAAGATTTCCTTCAATCCCAAGGACGTGCTGGGCCGTGGGGCAGGCGGGACTTTCGTTTTCCGGTGAGTGGCAGCCAGGAGCCAAACTGGGGACATGGCAGACATAACACTCACAGCCTTCATGGGCACTGTCCCCGGGAGAGCCATTCTTTCAAAGACTTCCCAAGGTAGGTACAGGTCAATCATCACTCACTAGTTCTGCTCTTTCCTTTATCTGCTCTCTTTTTTTTAAATCTTGCTCTGTTGCCCAGGCTGGAGTGCAGTGGCACAATGTCACCTCACTGCAACCTCTGCTTCCCTGGTTCAAGCAATTCCAGGCCTCAGCCTTCCCAGTAGCTGGGATTACAGGTGTGTATCACCAGCCCGGCTAATTTTTGTAGTTTTAGTAGAGACAGGGTTTCACCATGTTTGCCAGGCTGGTCTTGAACTCCTGACCTCAAGTGATCCGCTCGCCTTGACCTCCCAAAGTGCTAGGATTACAGCTGTGAGCCAAGGTGTCTGGCCCTTTATCTGTTCTCTCTGAATGTCCCCCTGCCCCTGCCATCACTCACCTTCCAGGGGACAGTTTGAGGGACGGGCAGTGGCTGTCAAGCGGCTCCTCCGAGAGTGCTTTGCTCTGGTTCGGCGGGAAGTTCAACTGCTGCAGGAGTCTGACAGGCACCCCAACGTCCTCCGCTACTTCTGCACCGAGCAGGGACCCCAGTTCCACTACATTGCCCTGGAGCTCTGCAGGGCCTCCTTGCAGGAGGTGAGTTGCGGGCTCAGGGAGGGTGGGTGGGAAGGTCCTGGCTGGAGAGTGATGCTTTGCCCCTCCCTGCTGCTCAGTACGTAGAAAACCCGGACCTGGACCGCGGGGGCCTGGAGCCCGAGGTGGTGCTGCAGCAGCTGATGTCTGGGGTGGCCCACCTGCATTCTTTACACATAGGTACCGGCACTGCCCCTGCCTCCCACTCCCTGTCCTTAGCTCCCTGCCTTCTGCCTTCAGCAACCAGCTCTCTTTCTGCCCCCGTCCCACAGTGCACCGGGACCTGAAGCCAGGCAATATTCTTATCACTGGGCCTGACAGCCAGGGCCTAGGCAGGGTGGTGCTCTCGGATTTCGGCCTCTGCAAGAAGCTGTCTGCCGGGCGCTGCAGCTTCAGCCTCCACTCAGGCATCCCTGGCACGGAAGGCTGGATGGCACCCGAGCTCCTGCAGCGCCTGCCACGAGACAGTCCTGTGAGTCTATACACCAAGTCCTCCAGGTACACAGCTGCCCAAGGCTGCAGGAATCCGTCCCTGTCCCAGTTCCCCTTCTGAGGAGACTCCATCACACTTGCCGTGTGACTTTCAGCCGCTCCTCCAAGCTTGTTTTGCCTTAAAGAAGGGATCATTTGTCCTTTCTCCTACAGCAGTCTCAATCAGGGACTGTTCTGACATCCAGGGGACATCAGACAGTGTCTGCAGACATTTTTGACTGTCATGACTTGGGAGGGAGGGGCTACTGGCATCTGCTGGAAATGCTGCTAAATGTCTTACAGGACAGGACAGTATCCAACACAAAGAATTAACAAAATGTCAGTGGTGCTGAGGTTAGGAGACCCTGAGCTAGAAGATGGTTTGCAATCTTCACTGTGCATCACCACTGTGCAACTTAAAAAAGGATGTGTGCCAGGCGTGGCGACTCAAGCCTGTAATCCCAGCACTTTGGGAGGCCAAGGCAGGCAGATCACGAGGTCAGGAGTTCGAGACCAGCCTGGCCAACACAGCAAAACTCTCTCTACTAAAAATACAAAAATTAGCTGGGTGTGGTGGTGTGCATCTGTAATCCCAGCTACTCAGGAAGCTGAGCCAGAAGAGTCACTTGAACCTGGGAGGCAGAGGTTGCAGTGAGCCGAGATTGTGCCACTGCACTCCAGCCTGGGCAATAGAGTGAGACTGTCTCAAAAAAGAAAAAAAAAAAAAGGATGCCTATTGCCGGGCACGGTGGCTCACCCTTGTAATCCCAGCACTTTGGGAGGCCGAGGCAGGCAGATTGCTTGAGCTCAGGAGTTCAAGACCAGCCTGAGGAACGTAGGGAGATTCTATCTCTACCAAAAGCACACAAAATTTAGCAGGTGTGGGAGTGTGCATATGTGGTCCCAGCTACTTGGGAGGCTGAGGTGAAAGGATCGCTTGAACCTGGGAGGTGGATGTTGCAGAGTCAAGATCACGCCACTGCACTTTAGCCTGGGCAACACAGTGAGACTCTCTCTCAAAGGAAAGAAAAAAAGAAAACCCGGCCCCACACCCAGTGATTCTGACCTAATTTGCCCAGGTCATTTTAATGTAGAGCCAAATTCGAAAACCACTGGTGTCAAGGGTTCTGGAGGGCATCAGATAAGCTAATTAGCTGATATGCAGAGCAGCAGCAGACCCACACAGAGACACTTGTATTTGGGACCCCAGAATTATGGATTTCGAGTCACAGTATGTGGGCAGAAGTTGAAGCCGGAGAAATGGATGATAATCACACAAAAGGGAAGGCTGCCCCACTCCTAAAGTGGAGGGAAAGCTCAAAGTGGTGCCCTGGGCTCAAGGACTAAATGCTGACGTCATGAGACTGTACAGTTTATTTTTAAATTAGTGGCCAATACATATATATTTTTTCTCTTTTTGAGTTTTTTTTTAAATGTATTTTTGAGTCTTGTTCTGTTACTCAGGTTGGAGTGCAGTGGCACGATCTTGGCTCACTGCAGCTTCCACTTCCTGGATTCAAGTGATTTTCCTGTCTCAGCCTCCATAGTAGCTCGGACTACAGGTTTGTGCCACCATGCCTGGTTAATTTTTGTATTTTTAGTAGAGACGGGGTTTATGCCCTGTTGGCCAGACTGGCCTCGAACTCCCGACCTCAGGTAATTCACCCACCTCAGCTTCCCAAAGTGCTAGGATTACAGGCGTGAGCCACTGCACCTGGCCCTGTATATATATTTTTGACACAGGGTCTTACTCTGCCATGGAGTGCAGTGGCACCATCACAGCTCACTGCAGCCTCGAACTCCTGGGCTCAAGGGATCCTCTCACCTCAACCACCCAAGTAGCTGGGACTACTGGCATACACCAATGGCACCTGGCTAATTTTTGTATTATTATCTTTTTGTAGAGGCAGGGTCTCAGCACATTGCCTACCCTGGTCTTTAACTCCTGGCCTCAAGCAGTCATCCTACCTTGGCCTCTCAAAATGCTGGGATTACAAAGTGTCAGCCACCATACCCAGCCCAATATTTTAACATCTGAGAAATTCCACATAAAATCTGGATATCTGGATTTTCTTTAAAAAAAAAAATAATCAGAATTGCTGGAGGCCAGGGGTTAGAGATCAGCCTAGGTAACATAAGGAGACCCATCTCTACAATTTCAAAATTGGCCAGGCATGGTGGCACATGCTTGTAGTCCCAGCTACTCAGGCCGAGGTGGACTGCTTGAGCCCAGGAGTCTGAGGTTACAGTGAGCTTTGGTTGCACCACTGGACTCCAGCCTGGGCAACATGAGCAAGGCCGTGGCTCAAAACAACAACAAAAACCAGCTCTGCTACCTTGGAGAGTCCCCTGGTGACAACAGGTTGGAGCTAAGGACCAGCTGCCCCTGCAGACAGAGCCCATGCCAGCTTACCACAGTCCTCCCGATCGCCTCATGCCTGGTACCCAGTTATGTTACCTGCCAACACCCTGTAGGAATGAGGCTTGTAAACCTGAATTAGCTCAGCAGAGGCAAAGGTTTTGGATGACCATGGGCCCCCTATAGTGGTGTAGACGGGAGTGGATCTAGAGCCAAAGAGATGCTGCCTAGGAAGCATCTTGAGTTCCAGTTTGAACCAAACCCCTGGCTGCTGTATCAGCCCATGGGAGAATTCAGCCAGGCTGACTTCCTGGAAGCCAAGATTTCCTTCTCACACCATCTCTCTGGCCCTAGACCAGCGCTGTGGACATCTTCTCTGCAGGCTGCGTGTTCTACTACGTGCTTTCTGGTGGCAGCCACCCCTTTGGAGAGAGTCTTTATCGCCAGGCAAACATCCTCACAGGAGTTCCCTGTCTGGCCCACCTGGAGGAAGAGGTCCATGGTGAGGGACCTCTGGGCCCAGCAGAGAAGGGAGGAAGGGCAAGACGCTAGGCAGGCCTGAAGCACTCTCCTTCTCTTAATCCTTCAGATAAGGTGGTTGCCCGGGACCTGGTTGGAGCCATGTTGAGCCCACCGCCGCAGGCACGCCCCTCTGCCGCCCAGGTGCTGGCCCACCCCTTCTTTTGGAGCAAAGCCAAGCAACTCCAGTTCTTCCAGGTCAGAAGGAGAGCTTGGGAATGGCCCCCAAAAGTCCTAAGTTTGGGTCCTGAGCAATAAGAAATGGGATATTAGATTGGCTGAGGGAAAACAGGAAGAGCTACCTGGTCCTGGCAGCCTGGCTCTCTCCCTAAATTGGGAGCCAGCCTGGACTCCTCAACTCCACCATCTTGGCATTCTCTGGTCCACTCACTGCCACTTTGCCAGCCCCAGCTGCCCTTTGCATGGGAATATAGCCCATTCCTTTCCACCTGTCACTCATGCTGTGCCTGTGCCAGTGCCAATAGCCCATTGCGCTTATGTGACCTTGACCTACAGACTTTGTGCCTCTGAGCCGCAGTTTGCCCATCTGTACAATGGGACAGCAGTACCAAGCTCATAGGTTGGTGGTAAATAACAGAGGTATGGCACAGAGAAGCTTCCCGCCCCCAGAGGCAATGATCCTTTTCATGTCACCTAAACCACTCCCCTAAGTCAGACAACATATTCCTACCCATGTGGCCTGTGGCCTCTGGCCCCAGTCACAGGGCTCAAGAGCTCTCTGGGCCCCAGGATGTCAGCGACTGGCTGGAGAAGGAGTCTGAGCAGGAGCCCCTGGTGAGGGCGCTGGAGACAGGAGGCTGTGCAGTGGTCCGGGACAACTGGCATGAACACATCCCTGTGCCGCTCCAGACAGGTAGAGGCCACACTTAGGTGGGCCTGGGCAGTGGAGGGGAACCCACCAAGGGACAGTTTTGCCACTGAATACCCTGCCCACAGATCTGAGAAGGTTCCGGTCCTATAAGGGGACATCAGTACGAGACCTGCTGCGTGCCGTGAGGAACAAGGTATGTGCTGGGGCCTGGGTGGGCCTGGGTCTTGGGGAGGCCTGGCTGCAGCTTAGCCAGGGTTCTCTGTTCTACCTACCCTAGAAACACCACTACAGGGAGCTCCCAGTCGAGGTGCGACAGGCACTTGGCCAAATCCCTGACGGCTTCGTTCAGTACTTCACAAACCGCTTCCCACGGCTGCTCCTTCATACGCACCAAGCCATGAGGAGCTGCACCTCCGAGAGCCTGTTCTTGCCCTACTACCTGCCAGCGTCAGAAGCCAGGGGACCATGCCCTGGGGCCGCAGGGAGGTGAGGTGGGCCAGAGACCACACAGATGGTCTTCAAGCTGGCTGGCTGAAGAGTTGAGACTGTAGCTGGCCTCGGAATCAGAAAAGACTGCCAGTCTGAGTGCAGTGGCTCACACCTGTAATCCCCACATTTTGGGAGGCTGTGAGAGGATCAATTGAGCTCAGGAGTTCAAGGCCAGCCTGGCCAACATGGCAAGACCCCATCTCTACAACAAATTTTAAAAATTAGCCAGACATGGTGGTGTATGCCTATAGTCCTAGCTGCTTGGGAGGCTGAGGTGGGAGAATCGCTTGAGCCCAGGAGTTTGAGGTTGCAGTGAGCCACGATCATGACACTGCACTCCAGCCTGGTGGACAGAGAGACAGTGTCTCAAAAAGCACACCACCCAAGACTGGCAGAGACTGGGCGGCCTGGGGCTGATGAAGCAGAGATGTTCCCTGGAGCCCAGGTCCTACCCCTCAGGAAAGACAAAAAAAAGAAGATTTGCATCTGTTTAATGTATATAAAGCCAAGAAAGGACAGTCCCAAATTCAATAGAAATATCCTGTATAATTCATACAGTGGGGTTTTGGGGAAGAGACAAAGATATAGAACCCACAGCTGAACATGTACAAAAATAACTTACACAGCAACCCTCACCTGCAAGGATAATGCAGCTCTGCCCAGCCCCCAGGGCTGGGGGGCGCACTGCAGACATGGCACCATGGGAGCCAACCTGTGTGGGCCCCAGATGCAGGTGGGAGTGAGGAGGGCACCAGTCCAGAGGTGAGGGAGGCTATTAGGAGGCCTTGAGGCGGTTGGCTGAGCGCGAGCTCAACAGCTTGTCCACCATGGTGCGGGCATAGCGGAGCCGGCTGGCCAGCTCCTTGCAGCAGCCGTACTCCTCCAGGAGACTCAGGCGGTATGTACGGAAGTCCCGCTTCTCGTCAATGTAGGTCACGGCTGCCATCAGTGGGCACAAGATGAGCTTGGTGTGATCCTGTAAGAGAAGGGGGCAGCAATTGGTGATCCCAGAGGCCAGTTTATGTTAGGGAGCAGAGGGAAGACACAACAGGTATAGGTACCTGAGCCGCTCACTCCGCACTCAACTCACATGGGCCACTGCCAGGCACACGGAGCCTACCCCAGCCTCTGGTGACCTCCAGCTCACCTGAAAGAAGTTGATCTGCACGCTGCCGTTGCTGAGGTGCAGGATGATGGCACTGCGGGTGCGGAACCAGGTCCGCAGGTAGGGCAGCCGGGCAAGCTCATCACCTTCACGTGGCGTGATGTTGGCACCTGCCTTCAGCAAGTGCTCACTCATGTAATTGCGGAAATATTTAAGGAGGGTGATCTGGATGAAAAGTAGGGGAGGGGTTCTAGAATTAGAGTCTGACCCTCTAGCACAAGTCCCACTCCCACAACACCACGCCCCCTGGGCAGGATGGCACTCACCTTCTTCATCAAAGAGTTGGGATGGGAACTCACGGTGAGGTAGGACTCAGTGCCATCACGCTCTATATACTGCAGGCTGTCACCATCGTTGTAGAGAATAAGGCGTGTTGAGTCATTGAAAAGCACCCCCACACTGTTATCACACAGCTGATACCCTAGAGATTGGTGGAGAGAGGCCTCAGAAAGAGGGAATTGAAAGTGGGGAGTGGGGCCAGGTGAGGCGGCACATGCCTGTGATTCCAGCACTTTTGGAGGCTGAGGTGGGAGGATTGCTTGAACCCAGGAGTTTGAGACCACCAGCCTGGGCAACATAATGAGATCCCATCACTACAGAAAATTCTAAAAATTAGTGGAGTGCGGTGGTGTGCGCCTGTAGTCCCAGCTACCCAGGAGGCTAAGCCAGGAGCTAGCCTGGGAGTTTGAGGGCTATAGTAAGCCATGATTGCGTCACTGCACTCCAGCCTGGGCGATAGAGCAGGACCCTGTCTCTGGAAAAAAAAAAAAAAGTAGGGGAGTCAGGGAGCACTGGGAGCTGGAACTGGGAGGCCTGGGATGGAGAGAAGAGAGCACTAAGAAGAGAACTTGGGAGCCCAAAAAAGCCAGAGTCTGTAACAACTGAAAGGTCACCTGGCTGTACCTGAGTCACCCACCTGTTCTAGTAGAAACCTACCAAGGCCGTACTTGTCCGAATAGTCCACCCACTTGCTGACCCAGAAGATGGGGATACAGGCAGGATCCTCAGCCTCCTCTGAGACAGAAACAGACAAACAATTGGTCAGGACCAGCCTCTTCCCCTCTGGTTCACACATGTGGCCCACACCAGGGAACAGGGAATCTTGCTGAGCACTCCACCTGGGCTGAGTTGAGAGGCCTGGGGTCCCAGAGAAGAGCAAAGCAGGGCCTCTACTGCTAACAGGCTTAGACAAGCAGCAGCACAGACATCTACACAGAAAATCTCAGCACAGAACGACAAGTTCCACTCATTCCTTCATTCCACTGACTGATTCATTTATTGAAGGCCTACTATGCCTGCCAGGCACTGTCACATGTACAGTGAGCAACAGACAAAACCCCAGCCTCCACAGAGCTTACACTGTGGCTGTAGGGACAAAGACTAATCAAATTAAGTATGGGCAAAATGTCAGTGACTTCTATTATGGTAAGAGTCAGAGGACGATATTATCTAGTTTTCCAGTTTGGAATAATTAAGAAACTGTGAAGACAGAAGCCAGTTGCAAACACATCAAAATATTATGTTCAGTGCATGCAACAAATCCCTTATTTAAAATCCAATAAATAAAGATGGATATGTTGGACTATGTTGGGTGAGAAGTATTATGGAGAACTATGCAGCGGGCAAGAGGATGAGAAGCACTAGCAGATAGGCCAGGGAGATGCTCACAGTGGTGACACTGGAGCAGACACTTGAAGGAGGCCACAGTGTGAGCCATGAAAGCTAGTGTCTGCTTTCATGACAGGGCCAGGGAGCCATAGGTGTGAAAGCCCTGAGGTTGCAGCCCATCTGGGCCTGTTATTTCAAGTGTCTTGAAGAAACAATAGGAACTTACTGAGCAAAAGAAACAGCATATGAAGGTGGCATATCAAGGTGCTAAAGTAAGAGACGGATCAGAAAAGAAGGCAGGAGCCACAGCATGCAGGACCTTGGATGTCAGGAAATGGGGAAACCAATGGTCCTATGGAGACAGGGCCTGGATAAGTCACCAGTGCTTTGCTGGCCAAGATTCCTGCCTTCTCCAGATGCCCCAAGCAATCCTGCCCTACACAGGGCCCACAGTACCCACCTTGCCTGACCAGCCCACGGTCTGAGGGCTTTGAGGCATTGACACTATGCAGCTGCTGCAGCATATCACTGAGGTGGCAGTCGACCACCTCACCCGTCTCTCGAACCACTGGTTCCTCTTTTTCCCGGGGACGCTCAGGCAGGGGGTTCTCCAAGCCTAGGAGGGTAACAAAAACAGGGGCGTTGGGAAGGGCACAGGACTCCCTGCCACAGCTGAAACTTTTCTGAAAGAAAAATCTTAGCTACCACTGCTTAGGGGAAACTGAGTCAGTGCCTGGTCAATAGAGCAGGAGCTGCCATGCTCAGGTGACAGGCACACGTGCTAACTGTGAGGCAACAGATCTTCAGATGCTCTAGCCTGTGACCCAACGGCGTGGCCCTGGAGGATACCACCTGCCACCCAGACAAACAGCTTGAAGCCACCAGCAACTCAGAGCTGCCCAGCTTCAAGCAAAGACTTAAAAGCGTCTTCCACATCTAAGCAGATGGGAGGGCTGAGTAGTCTCAGTTCACCCGCAGGATGGATTCAATAGGCATTTAAATAAAAACACAAGAGATTTTTTTCTACTCTAAAATTTGCTTTATATGTTTATAATCAAAAAACGCATGAAAAGATACATGAAATTTTAACACTGGTTATATCTGGGCAGTAGAAGCACAGATTATTTTTATTGCCTTTTTCCTTATTTGTTTATTCCCCTATCAACATTTGCTAGTTCTCCTTGTATAATGTAAAATGTTTCCTAAAGAAGTTTTCAATTAAAAACTATGCCATGATATAGCAAGGAGCTGTTCAAAAAAAAAACCAAAACACTATGCCATCATAGGGACTTAGGTGTGAAATAATAAGATATTAGGGATTTGCTTTAAACACTCCAGCAAGCCCGGGGCAGTTGGCTCACACCTGTAATCCCAGCACAATAAGAAGCTGAGGCAGGTAGACTGTTTGAGCTCAGGAGCTTGAGACCAGCCGAAGCAACATGGCGAAACCCTGTCTCTACGAAACATACAGAAACTACTGGACATGGTGGCACAATACCTGTAAGTCCCAGCTACTTGGGAAGCTGAGATGGGAGAATCACTTGAACACAGGAGGTTGAGGCTGCAGTGAGCCATGATCTTGCTACTGCACTCAAGCCTGGGCAACAAGGCAAAACTATCTCAAATAAATAAATAATTTCCAAAATTCCAGTTAAAAAAAGGCAGGAGGGTGGAATAAATAAAACAAGTCTGGCCAAATGGTGATAATTAGTAAAAATAGATGAAACATGGGATTCATCATACAGTTCTACCTTTGGGTAAGTTTGGAAATTTCCTTAAGTTTTAAAAGTGCTATATGAAAAATTAAAACTGAAAGAAAAAAAGTAGGAGGCTGAGGCAGGAGGATCACTTGAGCTCAGGAGTTCAAGACCAGCGTGGGCAACAGAGCGAGACTTCATCTCTACAAAAAGTTTAAAAATTAGTCAGATGTAGTGGCACACGCTTAAAGTCCTAGCTACTCAGGTCAAAGCTACAGTGAGGTACAATTGTGCCACTGCGCTTCAGCCTGCACGACAGAGCAAGACTCTGTTTCAAATAAATTTTTAAAAAAGAGAGAAATAAGTAATCCTTTAAAATATAGCCCAAAGAATAAAATATCCATGAGTCTATTTCAGACATAACCAAATAAATCAATGGGAGAGAAGGAATAGCACTTCCTTACAGAAGAATTCCAATTATTAAATGTAGAAAAACTAAGGAAAAGAAAAATTGCCATTAGAATATCACTGTAGGTAGGGCACAGTGGCTCACACCTGTAATCCCAACACTTTGGGAGGCGAGGGAGGATCACTTGAGGGCAGGAGTTTGAGACAAGCCTGGTCAACATAGTGAGATCATGTCTCCACAAAAAAAAAATTTTTTTTTTTTTTTTTTTTTTGAGACAGTCTTGCTCTGTCGTGCAGGCTGGAGTGCACTGGTGAGATCTTGGCACACTGCAACCTCCACCTCCCAGGTTCAAGTGATTCTTGTGCCTCAGCCTCCCAAAGTAGCTGAGATTACAGGCGTGCACCTCCACACCTGGATAATTTTTTGTATTATTAGTAGAAGCAGGGTTTTGCCATGTTGTTCAGGCTGATCTCGAACTCCTGAGCTTAGGCAATCTGTCCACCTTGGCCTCCCAAAGAAAAAAAAAATTTAAATTAGCTGGGTATAGTGACCCATACCTATAGTCCTAGTTACTCTGGAAGCTGAGGCAGGAGGACTGTTTG